GGTCCCAAGTCCCGCCGGACGCCGTCACCGCCCGCCGCCCGCGGGGCTGGGGGGCCTGGGAAGTGCGGGACTCCAGGCTCCATGCCCGCTCGGGACCCCCGCCCCTCCCGCCCCTCCCGCGGTCCTAGGGCAGCGTGCATAGTCGTGCGGGAAAGTGACGACCCACCCCCAACTCGGAGGAGACGGACGCGGGGGACGCGTGCTGCCAGCGCTGCCCCCCGGTCTCTCCCCGGGGGAGGAGGCGCGGGACGGAGTGACAGCTGCGCAGATGACGCCCCTCCCCCTCGGCGCCCGCAGCTCGGCGCCCGCACCACCCCCACGGGGGTCGGAGTGCGGACCCGGACGCGGGGGCGAAAGGACCGGGGGTCCCGGGTGGAATCGCCCGTTCTGAGCCTCGGGAGGTCGGGGGCCAGGCCTCGGTTTCGGGGCGGTGTCAGCCCCCTCCCCGATCGGGGGCGACGCAAAGTTTTGGGAAGTTGCTGGCCCCTACCTTGCTTGGTGAGCACCAGGGCGTCTTCCCTCCGCGCCTGGGTGATGATGGAGCCGTGTTCCATCTAACAATCCCGCGGGCCCGGGCTGGCTGGGCGGGAGGACCGGCGGGCGCAGGCTGGGCTGGGCTGGGCTGGGGGGCCTGGGCGGGGGCCCGCTCCGCTCCTGCACGCGAGACTCGGGTTCCCACCGCTGTTCACATCCCTGCTCTGGTTCCCTCCCTGGGCCGGGAAGGGAGGCGGCCTGTACGGAGAGCAGGCGGCCCGGCCAGCGGCTCCCCCGGGTGCCCCCGGCCCCGATCCCCCGGCGGCAGCTCCGGGCTCCTCAGTTTGGGTCCAACATGGAGAATCCGGAGCGAAAACAAGAGGAGGAAATGGGACACGGGGCGGTTTCCAGGCTCCCCCCTCCCCTCCGTACTCCAGATAAACAACCCGCGGCTGCAGCGCCCACCCCCGCGCGCCTCAGGGCTGTGGACTCGGCCTCTCCACGGCCCTCTCCACGGCCCACCGGCGCCTCGCGTTGCGGAGCACCGTCCTAGGCCCAGGGACCCTCTGTCCGTGAGCAGCGGGGCTGCGGAACATCCGGAGCTTCGCTATTTTGTTACGGAAAAAGCGAATCCCCGAGGGGGGTGGGGTGGCGGGCGGGCAAGCTGGCCGGGGAGACTTGAAACCGCTCCGGCGCTCCAATTGGCCCTCTCAGAGAAAAGGGGCGTGTCTCCTCCTTACTATGCGGTGCGAGGACCCAACAACATTCCAGTCGCTACGGCCACGCCCCCAGGCCACGCCCCTTTCGCGCAGCTGCGGCCTCCTAGTCTCCCTGGCCACACCCCCTTCCCAACAACTTAAAAGGACACTCCGAAGCTCACGTTTCCCGACGCGGCGCTGGGGTGTTCCGGTTTGTGCCGTCTCTCCGCGGGTCACCAGGGCCCGCGGCGAAGCCTAACGCAGGTCTGGCTGTGACGCGAGGATTCACGGGAGGGCAGTTTTCTTACTTCCTGCTTGGTCCTGGAATCGTGGACCACCGTTTCACATAAAAGAGGACAGCTGTCGAATCCCGAAAAGACGGACGCTGGACTCCCAGAGCATCAGCGCTGGAACTGACCTCGTGATGTCTGACCCCCACACTTCAAGTGAGACTTGAGGTGCAGGGATGTGCCCAAAGCCACTTGCATTCAGGGTTTCCACCTCTCTTCCCCTCCTCCCACTTCACTCCTCTCCCCCCAGTACCAGCCTCAGTTTAGTGCAGCGGTTCTCAACCTGTGGGTCGCGACCCCCTTGGCGGTCGAACGACCCTTTCACAGGGGTCGCCTAAGACCATCCTGCATATCAGATATTTACATTACGATTCATAACAGTAGCAACATTACAGTTATAAAGTAGCAACGAAAATAATGTTATGGTTGGGTCACAACATGAGGAACTGTATTTAAACTCCAGTGGTTCTCAACCTTCCTAATGCCGCGACCCTTTAATACAATTCCTCATGTTGTGGTAACCCCCCCCCCCCCCACCATAAAATTATTTTCGTTGCTACTTCATAACTGTAATTTTGCTACTGTTATGAATCGTAATATAAATATCTGATATGCAGGATGTATTTCCAGGGGTTGCGACATTAGGAAGTCCGATGGATGGAGGTGTGGGAAGAGCTTCAGGTCTGTGCACTCTTGCTGGCCTCCCTCCTTGCTCTTAGGCCCCAGGCACCCTCCATTGGCTATGGCTCCTGGGCGCTTATGGCTGGCTCAAGGTGAGGGATATACATTTGTCCCCAAGAAATAGGAGCTCAGCAAGGGAAGTTTCAACCCTATACCAGGTCTTTTTCAGTGAGCTACCTCTGCCATAGGTGACAGGAGCGGCCTTGACAGGGAGGGAGCTGTTAGAGCCAAGGCTGGCAAGAGTGTTGTAGATGCCGAAACCGATTTGGCTCAGTGAATAGAGCGTCGGCCTGCGGACTGAAAGGTCCCGGGTTCGATTCCGGTCAAGGGCATGTACCTAGGTTGCGGGCACATCCCCAGTAGGAGATGTGCACGAGGCAGCTGATCGATGTTTCTCTCTTATCGATGTTTCTGACTCTCTATCTCTCTCCTTTCCTCTATGTAAAAAAATCAATAAAAAAAAAAAGAGTGTTGTAGAGTGAGATTGCACTGGGTGACTTCTGAGCTGCTTCTAACAGCCTGTGACTCCATGGAACTCATAAGGAAGGGGCTTCCAGAAAGTCGAGGACTGTTCTGGTCCCTGGGGATGGAGGCCTGCTGCAGTTCCCGTTGCCCGGCGTGCACTAGGTTTCCCTGGGGGTGGGAGGACAAGTCAGTCACATGTACCTTGCGAGGTACTGTCAAACACCTGCTCCCCTTGGGTGTATGTTTCTGTGTGCCTAACAGTGTCCATGCGTGCCTGTTCCTACACGTACGTACACAAAGCCTTTTTACATAACACCATTTTAATGGAAATGCTGTTTTTCCCAAATGAAAGCTGTTGCAGAGGATCTGAATGATGCTTATGTAACTTTAAACACTGAGTTTGGGTACATCGCAGTTCATTAACAGAAGGGGAAAGGGAGGAATTCTCATTTATTTACCGTCCATCATTATCAAAACATCATTAAAGCAATAGAATTATTAAGGTAAATCTTCCATAGTCAGGTTTCTAAGAGTCCTGCCCCCACCCTCTTGCAAGGTAGCTCAGTTGCAGTGGGAGAGTGAGGAGTGCAGGCCGGACCCGGGGTTGAGGATTGAGGGGGATGTGCTACCCACAGTGTTGAACAGGACACTTTTTTCTCTACGCTTACATTTCCTCAGCCATAGAAACAACCCTTCCCTATTTTCTAGTTTACACAGTACTTTCACTTACATTATCTGTCTCATGTGACCTCTTCTTTGGGATTGACTGTGAAAATGTCCATTTTGTAGTTGAGGAAATGGTGTGGAAAGGTTAATGGACTCACCTAAGATTTCACAGTTAAGAAGAGACAGGACTAGAAGTTGCCTGTGGCCTTGACATTTGACCATAGTTCCTTTCCTATTTAGAGGCTGCAGGAGATCCTAGTCACTGTCTTTTCTTGCTAAGAACTCTGACTGTATCACCTCCTCTGAGAAGCCCGCCCGGATGCCCACTCTCACATCAGGGCTTTATAGCCTCCCACATACTCTCTCAAAGCTTAATTAAGCATCTTATCCTGCAGCTGTTAGTTTGCTGATTGGCTTCCCAGCCAGAAGATGGATCGAGACTAGAGATTGTATTATTCACGATTGGGTTTCTTGTGCCTCGCAGATACTTGCCACAGAGCGGCAGCCTTTGTGTGTTTGCTGTGTGAGTTTTGATTCTATGTCTTAACCAGTGTTTTTTGTCCAGTGACCCACAGCAAGAAACCCATTTTATATTGTGAAATAATTGAAATAAATTGTATGGGGACAATACTTATTCTTGCTATGTGTATACACCCTGATATTTTCTATTGTATTCTATTTCATTTTTAATATATATATATATTTATTGATTTCAGAGAGGAAGGGAGAGGGAGAGAGAGAAACATCAATGAGGAGAGAGAATCATTGATCAGCTGCCTCTTGCACACCCCCAACTGGGGATTGAACCCGCAACCCAGGCTTGTGCCCTTGACTGGAATCGAACTCGGGACCCTTCAGTCCACAGGCCAATGCTATCCACTGAGCCAAACCAGCTAGGGCTCTATTTCCTTTTTTAAACAATTTTTTAAAATATATTTTATTGATTTTTTACAGAGAGGAAGGGAGAGGGATAGAGAGTCAGAAACATCGATGAGAGAGAAACATCGACCAGCTGCCTCCTGCACACTCCCTACTGGGGATGTGCCCGCAACCAAGGTACATGCCCCTGACCGGAATCGAACCTGGGACCCTTCAGTCCGCAGGCCGACGCTCCATCCACTGAGCCAAACCGGTTTGGCATCTATTTCCTTTTTTAAAGGTACTGGCCATAACCCTTTAAATTGATTTCATGATCCACTTCCAGGTTGTGATCTACAGTTGGAACAACACTGCTTTCATCTCCTTTCTGCTGTGGATACCTTCTGTGTGTGGGGCCCTAGCTGTTCCTAAAAGGTGCAGAGGAGATGGCCCTCAAGTACCTCTTGCTTTGAGGTCAAAGGAAGGTTTATGTACAGTGGGGCCTTGACTTATGAGTGTCCCGACTAACGAGTTTTTCGAGATACGAGCCGTCTCTCGGCCAATTTTTTGCTTTGAGTTGTGAGCTAAAATTTGGGTTACGAGCCAGCTTCAGATACCCCACCGCTAGTTGGCGCAGCGAAAGTCACAGTGAACGTCACAACATCAGCCCAGCATCACGTGTCTCACTTGTTCACTTTAAGATTTGACATACGAGTAATTTGAGTTACGAGCTCCGTCACCGAACGAATTAAACTCATAAGTCAAGGCCCCACTGTACAAGAAAGCAGGCAGCCCTGGCCGGTGTGTTCAGTGGTTGGAGCATCATCCCATGTACCGAAATGCCTCGGGTTTGGTTCCCAGTCAGAGCACGCGCCCAGATTTTGGGTTCCATCCTCAGTCAGGGAGTGTGTGAGGGGCAACTGATCCATGTTTCACTCTCTCATTGAATTGATGTTCCTCTCTCTCCCTCCTGCTCTCTCTAAAAGTCAAAACTTATAAAGAAAGCAGGCAGAAACCCTTCCAAGACCATAGGCGAGAGTGTGAATAGAACCCAGGATGGGGGTGACGGGTGTGGGGGGGTGTTAGATGAGGGAAGGTTTGGGAGGTCTGATCCGAGGACCTTTGTACCTCCAGAAACTATAGGGTGTCCCAAAATTCATGCAAGATTTGAATTTTGCGTGAGCATTAACAACAACAACAACAAAAAAGCCTAATTTTACTTGGTTTATTGAATCAGATTCTAATATCTGTTGCCCTTTGATTTCAATCCCTTCAATTTGATAAGCATTACCAAGTACCAATTATGGCCCAGGAGCAGGGACAATGAAGACCAATGAAGACCACGGCTTTGCATATGTGCCAGCAAAGCCATGGAAGCCATTTACCCTATGTGCTATTCTATACATAACCCTATACTGTATACTTTATGAATCAATAAAAAATTTACAATTTTTAATTATAAATGTGTGTTTTCTATCAAAATTACTTCTTGTGTGAATTTTGGGACACCCTATATAAAGGCAGTGACATCTTCACTGGAGCCTGGAACTCCAAAACGCAGATAGGCAGGGACTCTTTTTTTTTTTTTAATATATTTTATTGATTTTTTACAGAGAGGAAGGGAGAGAGATAGAGAGTTAGAAACATTGATGAGAGAGAAACATCGATCAGCTGCCTCCTGCCCACCCCCTACTGGGGATGTGCCTGCAACCAAAGTACATGCCCTTGACTGGAATCGAACCTGGGACCC